TCTCCCAGTGCTGTGGGCTCGCCATCTGCTCCGAACACAGCCGACGGGCCAGCGCGTCCACCAGTCCGACGCGCTCTTGCTGGAGGAACTTGTTCGCGGCCGCGAGCACAAAGTCCTGCACCGCTTTGAAGTCCACCCCCTTGCCGCTCTCCAGCTTTGACTTCATCCACACGGCGGGACGCTGCAAGACCGCCGCGGCAATATCGAGCCCGAGAGAAGACGCATGGAACCCGGGATTGTTAAAGTGCTTGAGCCAGTGCTTGCCTGCGTTGCTGTTGAGCAGGTCCCGGTCTTTCTTGACTGCCTCGGTGACCCGTGTGATGCCTGGCGAGGGATCGATATTGACCAAAGTCATCTCCCGCAGCATCGTGAGCAGCGATACAGGCATGTATAGCGTGCAGTCCTTGAACATGGACGAAAGCACCTTCGGGTTGACAGGGCAGCGCGGAAGCGTCTCCCCATCATCGAGTGAAAAGCCGTTCTTGGTAAGAAAGAGGTCCATCCACCTCGCGTTCGTGGCAGCAGATCCCTCCAGCGCAGCCACAACCAACCTCGCAATCCTCGCCCTATCCTCATCGCTCAACTTCGAGTTCTTCGTCTGAGCAAGGAGTATCTCCGTCAGGGGCGTCTCCTCCCCGACCTCAGGAAGCCCAGCCGCCCACTCCTCCTCCGAGTACGGCCTACGCTCGCTCAGCTGCGCCGCCGCAGGGACGACGTACTTCTCCAGCGCGTCAAGCACACGCTGCCTTAATTCAGGAGGACACGACGGGACCTCCATCGTGCTGATCAAGCTGTCCACGATGGTGATTCTCGCATCAATGTGCCTCGCCTCTGAAAGCAGCGACGTGAGGATGTCACAGGATGAGACCGCGTCGATGAAGCGGTTGTTATTCAGCACCTGCGCCATCATCTTGATGGTCGTGACCTTGATCGCCGGCTTGTGCTGTGCCTGCGCCTTACTGCCCTCCTTGACGAACGGGCGCGCGTTCTGCCCGCGCATCTTGTCCCGCATCGCATTGGCCATTGTAAAGAGGAACTCCTTGGCGGCCTTGGCGGGCAGCGAGCGGAGGAAGCTCACGTTGATGAGCTGGCGGTGCCACGAGCTGTTCTCACCGCCGTCCATGATGAGGTTCCGAATAAAGGGGCACGCAAGCGCTGGCTGGTCGCTGTTCGCCACTCGCAGGACGATGGTGACGATGTTATACATCTGGGCATTGAGTCTCTTCGCGCCGAGGCGCTCTCGCATGTTGTCCATGAGCCACTTGGCCAACTCAGCCAGGACTTTCGGGGTGGCGTCGCGGATGCCGTTCAGGATGTAGACGGCCTGGACCTCGACGCTGTTGGACGAGTTGAGGAGGGCCGTTGATGTTTTACTGTAGAGGAGCGCTTCAAGCGCGAGTAGCACGTCCATTGTCGGTTTCCATAGGATATCTGTAATCTCTCGCGCGTGGTCTTCTGAGCCGCTGGCCTTGGCGATGTTCTCGAAGGATTCGACGCTGTCTTTGTGCAGACGGAAATCGGCCACGGCCTTTGGCAGGCGGAGCACGCTGAGCCATCTGGAGCGGTCGAAGCCCGGCTCCTGCACGACCATAGTCGCCGTCTGGGTGAGATCAACCAGGATCCTGTTTGCGATGTCGACGTCCTTCTTGATAGATGCAAGTGTCGCCTTCTCCACCGCCGGGGTATCCTTCTCCGGGATGCCACCTAGAAGCGCAACTACCTCCGTCGTCTCCCACACGTCGCTGCTGTAGAGGTGATGGACTGTGAGTGAGTCCTTGTTGAACCGTCGTGCCCAGAGTACCGTGTCCGCGAGCATCTCCAGGTCTCCGGCCGCGACGCAGAGGTTCATCGCCGACTTGGTCCAGAAGGCGCGGTGGATAGGCTCGCGCGACTGTTGCGCCGCCTTCTTCCTGTCCTCGACGATCCGCCGCACGCGATCGAGCCAGGCAGTGTCCTGGTCCCCAGCCTTGGACTTGCGAATCAGCAGGGACCGAAGGATCTCGGCGTCGCCGCAGCGATCATTGTCCGGACCTCTCCTCTGCCTCAAGACCGACGTGTTGCGGCTGTATCCACTGGGTTCAAAGAAATCGCCGGCCGGGTATGCCTTTGCCAGCCTTTCGAACAGGGCTTGGGCATTCTCGATATCGATCGAGAAGAACACGGACACAGGCCAGAGATCACCCTCAACCGGCAGGTTTCTCAGCCGAGCGATCCCTGAGTCCGAGTCATCCTCAATGTCGATGCCGTATCCGTGGAGATGTCGCAATGCAAGCCTGAGAAGCTCGAACCGCGCCTCCGAAGCCATTCTCCTGGTCGTGACGATGATGTTATGCACAGTGCCCAGAGTAGCCTGCTTCTCCCAGGCCTTCTTCCCAGCCGGATACAGCTCCAGCAAGTTCACCATATGCGCCTTCATCGCCTCCTTCCGCTCCTCCTTCGCGGTCTTCCATTCGCGAATCGCGTACTGCAACAAACTGCTCTCCACCACGTTCGGGTACCGGCCGAGCTCATCTGGATACTTGCGCGCCACGCTGACCACATAATCCAAGAACTTGTCCCTCGTCGCCTCGTCCGCCCTCTTCTTCACTAAACGTCTGAGCAAAGGCAATGCGAACTCCTGGTAAAAGTCACTCGGGATCTGCGCCTCCCCCTCCCGGTCGACAATCTTCTCAAACACCTGCTCGTGAAGCTTCATGTTCCCCTTGAACACCGTCCGGTCCGCCGAGAGCGTCCTCTGCCCCTCATCCACCTCAAACACGCGCGCGAGGAAGTTCTCCTCATACCTCTCCCGATGACCCCTCGAGAGCGCCTTCTGCTGGAACGACGTCCACTCCGCCCCGTCCGCCTCCCACTCCTCCACGACCTCCAACTCGCACGCCGGGATCAGGTCCTGATAGTACACCCTCAGCGGCCGCTTATCCTCCCGCGCCTCGTCGTAGAGCAGCCTCACCAGCTGCCCCATCCCCGCGCGCCGCTCCGCGCGGAAGTTCTCGGCCGACGCGGTGCGGCCCAGCCAGCGGCAGAGGACCTGCACGTCCTTGACGCTGAGCTCGGCCATCAGCGCCGCGAGGCCGTCCGCACCGCCGACGGCGGTCCATAGCGGGAGGAAGCTGTCGGCGCGGCGGAGGGCTTTGCCGAGGGTCGCGATGGCGGCGGTGCGTGTGCCCGCGTGTTCTCTCTGGCGCAGATCGGCGACGACGTCTGCAGCGCTTGGGCGCTTCATATTGGGATGTGTGTCGGGAGTGTGTTTTGTTGGGCGGTGTATGAATTTTCTTGTTGTCATGATAGGAGGTGTATTATATTATTCAAATGGAGGCGATTTTGGCGCTTGGCCTTTTGCATTCGTGATTGGCACAGTGACCTTGCCAAATAAATACTCACGCGAATCACCTGCAGACACGAGGACTGGAGGTTGTATGACTCTATTCGCCGGCTAGGCTGCCATTGACGATGTTGATCATGTACGCGAGAGGCGCAAGAGTCTAGTCTAGGCTATATTCGGATCTGAGTCAGAGTGGGATTTTGGCCTCCAAAGTTCCAGCACGAACGACGATGCGGCGGTGAGGGACTGGATCAACACACGCTCTCAATTGAGGCCAATCCTGGAAAATTGAATTGGCCTCGGCTTCCCCTTCATCATGGCACATTTTGGCCTCCATCGTGAGCGCCTGCGGCACGGATGTGAATACGACGTCACCGTCATCGGGCGCAACCTCTCGCCTCAGGATTGACATATAACCCACGACACCAATTAATGGACCACGAACAAGGAGGCCGCCAATCCATTTCCTGATATCTCCTGTCCCCCTTTCTTCGTCCGATCTTTTCGTCTCTTGTATATTCAATGTTTGTCACGTAGTCATCCGGCAATTGGAGGTCGTCCGCCCACCTGCCCGAACCACAGCCTCAACCTGAGCCGCAGCATGTTTCGAAATGAGGAGCGGGTCAATATACAGCAGACAGACGACACGCGCCATCAAGTGGCGGTGCGTGGGACGTTCACTCAGGAGAAGGGAGGCACGCAGGTTTAAAAAGGCTCGGGACGCATCTCAAGGGGCAACTTCAAAAATCCTCCGAAGCCAGTGTGCGGTGGCAGGTTCTGCGTCTATTTGTGTTTGATCGCCGAAACCAAACACCTGTCAAGATCAATCGCGCGTTTCAATCGACCAACCTTGAGACAAATTCGACGACCGGCGCATCCTGTCACCAACAATCACAATAGTTCACGAGAAACACAACAGTCGACGACAAAGATGCAGACCTGACAGCGGCGCGGGCCATCCTATTGAGTACCAAGGACAACTGCAAAAGGGAACGAACATGGAAGCATCACCAGAGACCAACTTCGATCACAACCGAATTGAACCCGACAATCGTTTGCGAAACGACAAAAAAGATGGATTCCATTGACCAGCTACCTCCCTAACCCGAAAATCAAGTCGATGAGACGATAGGTACAGAAGAACCAAATGTCCATAAAAAGGGTGCCGCGGCCTCAGCAGATCATAGCCATCAAGTGATGGCCGCAGACACCGCCGACGACCAGGGGCCAAGAATCGAAGAAAATGCAATGTTCCATGGTGGGATCGTTCCCTTCCCAAAAAGTTTTCTTGTTCCACGCCAGATCCGTAAATGCATCATCATCAATGTCCAGTTTCCTCGAATCATGTTCTCAGCCGGCGCGGACAGACCAAAACGCGAGCTTATCCATCACGCAAGTGCCGTATGGAAGTTTGTGTGAAGAGAAATGTACTCATGCCATTCGTTGGCGACCAAAGCGCATGATTCAAAGGGTCCCATCAGAGGGGACGAGGAGATCGAAAAAACGTCAAAGCGATCCCCTGTTAAAGTACAGCTGTAGAAGTGAAGAAATGCCTCGCTCGCTCGATCGAGTCCATCTGCACCCGTACCCGGTGGTCGTGTCGCAAACAAAATCCTAGATCTGCTTCAAGCGGGCAGGGCGAAGGGTGCAAGTGCAGTTTGGACGATTGACACGCCGCTTAGTTGGCGTTGACAGTGGCCTCGCCGAGGGCAGGGAGGACGTTGGTGTCGAAGCTGCCGATGACGTTACCTGAGACGGGTTAGCAAAGAGGCCTGGCAAGGGGTGAGTGGGTGAACATACCCTGCTTCTTGTAGTTGCAGACGGTGAACCAGCTGCCAATGGAGCTGAGGGTACCGGCGGCGCAGTATTCGACGGCGCAACCAACGGTGGTGGTGTCCTTCCAGACCATCTGGGTGAAGTGACCCCACTTGAGGAAGTCGGTCATGTCGGGGCTGGCCTGGCCGTAGCCGGTGTACAGGTTCAGCTCGCCGTTGTACCACTGCTCGGTGATGGCCTTCTGGGCAGCCTTGGCAGCGCCGAGAGACTCGGAGCCGGTAGCACCCCACATGGCAAGGTTCTGGCCGTAGCCGCCACCGCCGGTGGTCATGTCATGCTCGAAGACGCAAGTCTTAGCAGTGATGGCAGCGTAGCCGGCAATCTCGGCGTCCCAGGACAGAGCAGGGGCAGAGTGGTTACCACGGTGGACGTTGTGGGAGTCGATGCAAGCGGTCTGAAGGTCGTCGGTGGCAGCGGGGGTGGAAACGGCAGCAGGAGCGGAAGTGGCAGGCTGCGGGGTAGGAGTAGGCGTAGGGGTGGGAGTCGGGGTGGGAGTGGTCTCGGGCTCGACGACAACCGGGGCGCTGGTAGGAGCAGCGACGGTAGGCTGGGCAGGCTCGACGGTGACGGTCGAGAAGATGGGGGCCGGAGCGGGAGAGGGCTCAACCACAGCGGGGGCGGAAGAGGAGGAGCTGGCAGCAGGAGCCTCGTAGTAGATGGCGGGGTTGGAAGGAGTAGGAGTGGGAGTAGCGACTGGGATGTCACCCTCAGTAACGGTGACAGTCACGTAGTCGACATCCCAAACGGTCTCCATGGCGCGAGGGTCAAGGACACGGGGGTCGATGGCACGGCCCATGACGAGGGCGGCGCCAGAGGCAGCAAGAACGATGGAAGATCTCATTTTGATGATTGGATGAGTGTCTGAATGACTGTTAGCTTCGCCTGCGAAGGTTTGTAATGAAGATGAATATATGTATAAAGGAATGGCAAGTGGGCGCGGTGAACGAGCGTGAAAGTGATGACGAGGAAGCAAGACCAGACATCCCCAGCCAAGCTCAGAGAAAACCACCAGCTTCATATATCCCCATACAGGGCAATGAAGAAGCGCCAATAACTTTGCATGCAAGACTTTGGCATGCCAGCCTCAAGCCTACACGATCCAGACCTCTGCCCAGGTCGCCGCCATCTTGTTTGAGATCCTGGGATACATGGCAGGAGCCACGTGATCAAGCAGCAAGACAGGTGACAAGGGAACAAAGGTCTTTGTCGGAGGATCTGGCTGTGTCGCGGTGGCATGCAGATGTCTTGGAGCCGGTATTTCCCAACAATAGCATTGATGTGGAAGGAATGAGGGGCAGTAGTGGGATCGAACAAGGTTAGCTCGACGACTCACCTTGGTGTTAGTGTCTTGGGTGTCTTGGAGATTCGCGGAATCTAGCAACCAGGGATCCTGTCCGGACGATTTATGGAAGAGGTGTTGCGGCGGGGAGATATTTGAACTGTTGGGCGAGGCAAATATGATCCCGTGAGATGGTTCTCAGAGCCAGCTGTGTGTGATGAAGCAGCACTGCTGAAACGGTTCCGTCAAGGACCTTGTGGTAAGATGGTGAAAGAGTGTGGTTGAACAACAGGGAAATCCTCGTTGTTTGGTAGTTGGAAGTAGGTCGGACGAACGAAGCCGTATGTCTTTTTTTTCTTGGTGGTAAGCCGAAAAAAATAGGACTCTCGATGAGAACTGGTGAAGGAGTGACGATGCTGTGAAAAGAACGTGTGTGAGTCGGAATGCCGCGAACGCGAAAAGGAATGTCGGTAGCCTGCCTGCCCTTCTGTCCTGGAAGGTTGAGGTGCAGAAGAGAAAAAAGAGGGGGAATGCAGGCCGCGACCCGGGGCGAACTTACTTGGTTTTAAGGAATGGACGGTGTCAAAAGACGACACGATGAGGCGACCTGGGCCGAAGGAGTGGAAGGGAAGGGGTTGAACGAAGCGGTCTCCTTGGGAGTGGTGAAGCAAGAGGAGAGACAAGACGTTGGTGTCTGGCGACGCCGGGCTACTAAAAGGGAGGCGACAACAGCGAAGAACCCGTCCGACTGGGATTCGAGGACTGGGCGGCGAGTCTGAGCGCGGGTCCAGTGGGCGGTCTAGGTACCTAGTCGGGGGCCGGGGGTGTGTTAGTGGGGAGCAGTGCAGCGCAGCCGGGCAGCGGTCCTGGACTGACTGAAGTGAGGTGCCAGGGGAGGTGTTTTTTAGTCTGTTATTGTGGTCGGGGTGCGTGTGCAACGGGAAGGCGCTCGCTGGGCTGCAGCGGGAGTTGGTTGCGGTGCGCTGCAGTGCGTTGATTGAGCTGAACCGAGTGATTGTTTTGCTGGTAGCTACTCTGTGGAGAGGGACTGAGGTGGACGTCGAGGGGGATGTGATGGGATTCAGGGCGAGGAAGTGGGGGTGTGATCAAAAAAAAGGAGGGGTGGTCCACGAAAACCTAACGAACGAACGACGGACGGGACGACGGGAGTGCTCAGTGAGGTGGACGCCGTTGAACCCTGCAGAAGAAGCAACACGATGGCGACCGGGGACGTGGACCAGGCAGGTAGCGAGTGGAGGCAAGTGTGATGAAGGGCGGCAATCTGGAGGCGAGACAAGCAAGAACACACCAAGTGAAATTGGGTTGTTTGGTTCGTCCGGGGTCACAATCTGATGGTCGATTGGAGTGAATTGCGCTCAGGAAACCGCAGGAAACAGCGCGGCAGGAACACCTGAGGAAACAGGGACCGATGCTGTTGTTGGCAGGAAGGTGGAGGGGGTGAATAAGATTGATGTGGGGGTGGCTATATCCCGCCTGTTAAGTTGAGGGGGGAAGAGGTCACTCCAACAGCAGTGAATGCTCCTTCCTCAGTTTGCGAATTGATTCATCTCAAATGACTGCAACTGCAGGTGCAGCTGGTTTACAGTCACTGACCTGGGGAAGGTGCACATACTACGGCACCAAGGCGGGAAGGAAGAGATGGGACGAGTTGGCCAAGGGAAGGAAGCACCTCGGAGCTCCTGCTATGACGCCGCTCCTTCCCTCGTGGGAGAGATTCAAAAAAGCAGCAGCAATTTGGAAGCCACAAGCCAAAGAACCGCCTCCTGCGGTGAAGGTTGATAAAATAGCAACACCGATGCAGCCGCAGCCGCGACCGCAAAACCCAGTGCAAAAATAAGCAAAAAAGTTACCTGCGCCTCACCCGCCAGCTCAGTCAGCTCACTGTGCCGCATATCATCAAAATTGGCTGACATCTAGAATCCTGCGGTTTCTGGCTGGGCCAGCATGCGTCGTCGAGCTGGACCAGATCCTCGAATCTTGGCTTCGATTCCCCGCTGCCTGCATCCACACATCCAGACCACAACATGCCCATCACTGGGCCAGCTTCCTGATCTAGGCCGCCGAGTTTTCCGCTCGAGATTGATGCTGCATACGCTGGGGATTGGATATGCACTCACAGATGAAGCCAATATCGGCCGCGGATGCACGTCTTGCAAGACCTTGCAGCGGTATCCTGATCGATCCCCTGTTGCCCCGGTGCTGGTGCCGATGCTGGTGCTGCCCTCGCTCTCGCCACTACTGCACGGCAATGACTGATGGATCATGGTCGCCATCAACAAACCCCTCAACACCAAGACTGCCCAGCGGTATTCAGGAGACGCGTACGTATCAAGGAGTCAGGCTAGGAGCTGGAGACGCCCACGACTCAGCTGGAATCCTGGCTCCTCCGGCGGGACTCTCAGAGCAGGCACAGGCGACGACAACGTCTGACCTTCCATCAACATCGATCGAACACCCGGTCCGTCCTCCTCCTGGAGTCCCTCAGATAAGAGCGCGGCAGTCTTGGCTGACACCGGCAAGCTAACAGCTGCCTGTCGCAGTCCCCAGCATTTCACGATAGCGCCGAATCGAGGGGCAAAAGGGGGCGCTCCCCTCTGGAAGAATTCCATTCGACGAGTCGTCGTCGACTGCAGAAGAAAGCCCCCCTGGCTTGGCTGTTCTCCCCTCTCTGTCTCTCTGGCTGTCCTGTCCCGGCGTCTCGTCTCCTGCGCGTACACCCCCTCCTTTCCCCTCGCCCACGTCCCGATCCCTGAGTTCCCGGCATTTCGACCAATCCCCTTGCGGCGAGGTGCAGACGCCTTGGGGAAATGGGCCAATGACGGGTGGCTTCATCTGGTACCTTGCAGAAGGTGGACCCCATCTTTCCCTGATTGCTCCAAGGGTCGCGCTGGGCGTCTCCATCAAACAGCACTTGGCCCGGGGAGGCCCCACCCCTCTGAAACGGCCTTAATTTCGGTGGGGACCCGTTCATCCAGTCTTGCGTGGACGTGGCCTGTGCTTTCCCTCCTGTGCCCATTCATGATTTGTGCCTGCCGTGCGCCTGTCCACTGTTTAAAATTGTTTTCTCGACAGGCGATGGCGCTCTCGTCGGGTCGATCACTGCGACGCTGCACTTGCACTTGCGCAGTGCGTCAGCCATCCGTCCCCTGCCTGCCTGGCCTGGCCTACCTGCACACAGAATGCGGTTTTTTAACTTGACCGGCGCTGTCGCTTGGCCGTCCCTTCCGCTGTCTCGCTAAATGACCTCATTACGCTTCGGAGCCTCCCTTTTGCTGCACGAGCCACCTCCAAATGTCCAGCTCGCTGCCCAGGAGCTGTCAGCGTCTCATCCCACACGACGCCTTCTGACGGTCTGATTGCCGATGACGACGAGCCTCGCCCAAGACCTGACATCCTGGCCGCTGGGGCTGCGACGAGCGAGATGAAGCTGCAAAATCTTCCGCTCCTCTGTTCCAACATCATGCTGTTTCCTGGGGTACAAGCACCACAGAAACATGTCCCGTGCCCAGTGCCCACCGCTGATGGAGATGCAGGCGGATACCGACGTGCAGCAATCATTTCCAAGGTGGAAAACAACCAGATGAATCTGGGTCGGGGGTTGCGATTGTTTATGCTGTTCGGATGCCAGCCTGCCGGTTCATCGCTGTCATACCTGCAGTTGAGCTGGTTGACGACATACTGAACAGCATGTGCTACCGCCCAGCTGCTGTCTCTTCTGCTTATCGCCATGGACGTCTGACCGGCTGCTGTGCCTCTCGACCGTCATCGAGCGAGGCGCTTTTGGTGCAGTGATCGCCTAAGAAAAGATCTCCTATCAGCCGAGAACAAAACGAGCGCTACTCAGCTTCCGAGAGGCAGCGGGTGACAACCGCCATGCTGCATCTCAGCCCAGTGGCGCTCCGACGCCTCTCTTCAGCCCTCGCCAAGCCATAGCCGGGAGCAATTCCACGATGGATAACGCCTCAACCCCGCAATAACCCGGCACTTGAAGGCTTCAGAAGATGCGACAGATGCAATACTCCATGATGGGTTACGACAGGAACAAAGTGTCAACAGACGCATCCAAAGCAAAGTGTATGTCCCGAATGCTGGGCAACCTTGGCTTGTGGGACGTCGTCCATCGATCAACGTTGGTCAATGCCAGATATTCCCCAACACGTCAATCTCCCGCCTTGATCTCTAGGTCCGACCTGCGATCAGCGGAAACAGTCGATGGCAAATGTGACAGGCAACGAGTGCCCCAGGGCAACTCCATCAAACAGTCTGGCCATCTTGGCAGAGAAGCTCCCTCAACGAGGATCCTCCAGCGTCCCTTTTGAAAACACCAGTCCGACGTTGGGTCCGTCATGATTCTGGCCTACACCTCCTGTGGGGCACGCCATCGTCTGTTCGCGGTTGTCACAAGTCGCCCGCTACAACCATCATCGCTGCCATCGAAGCATCTTGTCAGCACAGTTTTCTGTGTCAAGTATTCAACGTCTAGAACCGTCGTTGTTGGCGTGGAGTTCTTAAGCGACGATCTTTCGGAGCTTTCTTCCCCT